AACTTATTTTCGAGCTTATAATACTGGTTTCTAATATCCACATTCAAATTCACGTTCAAAAATTCACGAAAATTCAAATAGATACCATACTTAGTTCTTCCATAATTCTCAAAAGATCATAATTATAGTCTACGTTATCCACATACACTACCAATAAAAAATATAAGTTGAGTTTTTTATAAGAATTTTGATGTCGAAACATACTAATAATGGCCAGTATATTAAAATAAATGTAAGCTAGTTTATGGTATTTGTTAGTTTATTTTTTCTTCAAAAATTCTATAACTTGAAAATTGACAACTAATAAATCAAAATTTCGTAGTACCAATAAAGGTGCCATAAGGTAATATGAAAACATAATACGTATGAAAAATATAAAGACACTATAAATATGTTCTTTTTCTACTATAAATAAGATATACTGCCCTGAGAATTCGGTACATATATATTACAAAGTTTGCATATTTAATTCTGGCATTTATATTTATAATATTATGCATAATGCATTCAGCTCGTGTATTCTAAAAACTTTGTATATTCTCTTAAATCCGGTTCCATGACCGGTCCTCGATATTAATGAGTCGAAATGGAGTAAAAAATATTATACATAAATGTAAAATACATATGTTGATGGTTCAATATTACAGAGATGACACAAGGAGAGGTTGTTTAACGCGAAGGATATTGCTCGTTATCTAATTGAATCCAACCATTGTAGGAAGACTGCGCGTGTTCGGCTTAGTCTGCGTTTCCATGAATGGAAAATTATAAAATCTTATAAAGGTTTAGTCACATATTTACTAGGAAAATACCAAGTCATGAAAAGCAATTGATGAAACTTCTTACTCAAACACGTGATCGATTTTTATGGCTTTTTGGACTCCCCGCTCCTAATTTGGTGATACGTGGTGACTCTGCCCCCTCTTCTCTCAACGAAACATCACGAGTATTTTTAGTAATTTTTGGTTTTTTTCTCAAGTTCAGGTGAAAAATAAGTACACGTGATATCTTACTAGATCATTTCCTCTCCTACGTGATTTTTTGTCAAACCCCTCTCTCCCCCTTTAGGCCTCACAAGATTACCGTCTACATGATGTATAAAATAAAAGGTCTAAAAGGATTGGAAAAAAGAAGAATGTAGATCCTCCCTCAACGAAACATCTCGAGTATTTTTCGTAATTTTGTTATTTTTTTTTGAAAATTTTTGGATTTTTTTCTCAAGTTCAGGTGAAAAATAAACACACATATATAGATATTTTACAAGACCATTTCCTCTCCTACGTGATTTTTTTGTCAAACCCCTCCCTCCCCCATTAGGCCTCACAAGATTACCGACTGACTATATGATGTATAAAATAGAAGGTCTCGAAAATAAAAGGATTGGAAAAAAGAATAATGCAGATGATTGATGACTTACGCGAGAAGAGTAAATACAGGGAACTGAAAGTCGAAGCACAGGAGCAAGACAGGAAAAGAAGAAGTAGAAGTAGAAGTTTGGACAGGAAAACGCACAAAGTGTATAAAATGTGTTTAATGGTAATAAAATGCCAATGAGAATATTAACCCTTTCCACTCGCGAATTCCGAGATTTATTTGTATTTTGGCGGCATCCGGGTTAAACAAGAAAATGGATAGAAAATCATTGATTCGTGCTACTCTAATGAAATGGACCTGTCTTTGGGCAGACTACTATTTAATATTATTATTATCATTAGAGAATGCCGTTGGTGATATCACTGGGTTTAATATTTTGAAGTCGAGTTTAATGCACTCAAAGAACATCTCTTTTTATATCTCATTCAACCAAATTAAGTCATTTATTCCGGCATGCATTTGGTTGCTATTTGTAAAAAAAAAATGTGGTGATTTCTATATTATTTATTCCATTATTTGACCTATCGTGGTGCATGGATACCTAGCTTTCATTCACATACGTCATTAAATCTTTTATATGATGTCCGCTCAAAATGAAGAGCAAGGCATTGAATGGAAGAACTAAGGATGGATTGAATATGGTAATGGTCAGTAATAAATAAGGATACGGGATCTATTGTGGTAAGATTCATGAACAAATCGTTGTGAGGTGTGTTCTATGCCCATATTCCGATAGATTAATGTTATAAAAAGTAATTTCAGCAAAAACAATTACTCTGAAAGAGTGTATATTACCATAGATAGTTAAAAGCACCTGAAAAACTATTGCCAGTTTTTGTTATTTTAGAAAAATTATTTTGAAACAACAGGCACTTTGTAATAGCTATATGTTCTTCTGGGAAAAATATAGACAAATTTAAACCAGCATAACTGAGTTCAGGTTCAGATGTTGTCTATCATTTAGATGCTAGTATTTCATAAACACCTTGAATACTTTATTACAACACTCAAAATTTTATTGGAGCGTAACTTCTATAGATAGATTTACTGATATCTGTCGCTCATTAATTGAAATTATTTAAGATGACTGATTTGATAAGAATAATGTATTTGCGACGATATAGGTCACGAACTTTATCTTATTGTTTGCTGAAAGACGAATACGTGATGTGCATGTAATGAATCATAAATTAACAAAATTATTTAAATAACTCAAGAAATTATAAATGGTTTATCATTCTCTTATTTTTTTACATTAAAGTATGAAGTATCAAAGCAAATGCCAATAGAGAAAATTTGTAATTCTCAATTATTTTCTTTCAAATACTAAAAATAAGGATTTGATCTTCATATGTAAAATATAAAATTCTGATCCACAAAATACTGACTTGTTCGACATTCGAACATATTAATGGCAAGATTATAATTTGCGCAGATATATTAAATATAGAAATTTAGAAGAATAGAAGAAGATTAAACTTTTTGGATTATGATTAATTAAATATAAAGTGACCAAGTGGCTGGTTTCAACTCCTTCAGCAAAAATAGTTTATGGTTCTAGGCACTATAGAATATAAAATGGACCCGGTAAAAGAACTAGTATGGGAAAGATGATTGCATGATAGAAATGATAGAAAATCGATAGTTTATATTACTGAATGATAATGTAAATTTATAAAATAAGTAAAGAATAATGGTGATTTCTCTATCGGCAGTTTTACAAGCTTATGCATAATTATTTTTTATTTGAACAGCAATTCGAATTGTGATCTATAAGCTGTCACTAGTCACATCAAGTTGGCCAAGGTGTGTATCGAACCCGGAACCAGTGGTTGCTAAACCATACTTTCATCATGAAACCATGAACAGCATGCAAATAAACATAACTAGTTTGATCTGGAACCAGTGATATTCTAGACCACAATTCAGTCATTGTAACATAAAAATAATAGATGTCAAAAGTATGTAATGTATGTTTACGTTGAGGTTTTAATGATTTACGTTTGCCTATCTATCAGCAGCACAAATATTTCTGTATTGTGTACTCAAAAAGTTATGACTTCTTAACAGTATTCTTAGTCCACCAGGTTCCTCTAATATCTGACGCTGATTGCCCTAATAATTTGAACAAATGCTTTATCGCCTTCTATTAAACTTCGTTTGTGAATTGAATCAACAATAAACAACCATTGTTCGATTCGACGCAAAACGCCACAATTGTCGAACAGTTGTGTTCCGCAATTAATTTGTTAACAAATATTATTATCAAATCGCCAGTATTATTTTATTTCATTTGGTAGGCAAGTGTCGAGATGGACCTTGAAGTTTATTGCCGGAATCGAACGCCAACAAAGTCATGCTCGAAACCACATCGTTATTTTTTAGGGGAATTTATCACGTTGCGCAATGATTTAAATTGTTTTTCATGGTGTAAATTAATTTATTCTATTTGAAACAATGTTTTAGATAATGTGATAATGTAGCTTATGATATAATACTCCTGTGGTAAGTTACTGGAAATGAGTTTTTTGATGCTCTTACCTTTTAAGGTCAGGAACAATGCATATGTCTGTTTAGTATGTGTGAATATCAGGATCCGACAAGTTTTCACTAATAAGATATTGATGGTTCAAAATTCGTTTGATAGCTCATTGGATTTTAGTAAGGAAAATTTCAGATTTTTCTCACCTGTATTCCTCTGTAGCAACCTTTAAAGTAAAATTTATAAAGGGGGATAAAATATTGGAGAGATGGATTAACTATAATTAAAATTGATTAAAAATTATTTATTTAAAGCTTTCTATATTTTTGAATTACAATTAAATGTAAAAACTTTGAAACATATATATTTATGTATTTAGAAAAAATATAACAATATAACGGAAAATATATAATTATATATTGACTATATTGACTTTATATGAGGTAGAATGATTGTAAATATTTATAGGTATATTATAACTAGATTTTTTTCTAGAAAATATGAAACAATTTAGCAATTAAATTGATTTAGCTTCTAATTAATAAATTTTCATAATTTTGTGATGGTATACAAAACTATTTATTTTTATCGAACAATAAGCGAAATGCGTTCATACCTCCTATTTTTTTGGCAGACACTTTTGCTCAAATTATTTTATGAAACATTTAGAATATATCAATATATATGTAATATATATATATATATATATATATATATATATATGTATATATATAACGTATTTTCAACATATTTCAACAACAAAAACGTAATCTATATATTTTTAGTATTATCATCACCTGCTACTTGACTTAAATAAAATGAAAATAGTCTCTAGTGTATCTGTTTCCTCTAAAGTAAATTTTGGTTATTAAAACTTGATACACTTCTTAATAATTTACGTTTTGGTTTTCTTGGCTGTAGGAAATTTCTTGACTTTTTGTCCAACCAGCATTTCCAAATGTATTAAAATTATTTTTAATAATGAAAACTTAGTAGAAAATAAAATTAACAATTAATGCTGAGATGATATTAAATTGACGTTTAAACAAACGTTATTCAGTCTTAGACGTGTTCAAAATGTTTTCATCAGATGTTCACATCTCCAATTATTATTATTGTGATTTTGTCCTATAAACTTTTCCTCTCAAAGTGGCAACAACTCCTCCTCATGTTCATGTGGTTTTTTGCGTTCGTCCATCTCTCTTGCCAAATCCAAAAAGAAATCCCGGAAGACAAATGATTCTACGTTTTTGGCGAAGTAATAAAGGAAGAGCCAGTCTGAGAAATGCATTTGTTTCGTTAGTTCGATCATCGACCAGTAATCTTTTGACGAAGGCGCCGCATATTGGAACAGATAACGGTTGAACCAGGAAGAACGCGCGTGCATCACGAATGCCATCAGTCTGTAGATCAGGCCGAAAATGGTGCATATTGATAGGATTATATACCTAAAACAGATTCAAAATTTGAAATTAACATTTATTAGATTGATTTTAACATAAACAAATGGAATAACAACGAAAACAATTATAACTAGTGGGGCGCATGGCATCGTGCCTTAAGGCAAATTGCTTCCCGTACCAAAAATTATTTTTTTTTAAAAAGATTAACATTTTTGAAAAAAATTTACTCTGAAAAAATAAGATTTTTGAGAAACTATAAATTTTTGAAAAAAAAAGAATTTTTGAAGAATAATTTATTTTGAAATATTTTGGAAATTCAGAACATTTTTTCAAAGCAATCGTACTGCTTTAAATGCATAGAGACGAAATATCGAAGCGCGTAAGCGCCGCGTCCCCTGTGTAACGGATATACATTGGTACGGAACCCATAGGAATGTAAACAAATAAAATCTCTATAAAATATCTGATAATTTGATGTGCATATGTCTAATGTTCATTTTTGACCGCAGATCTCCGAAACCGCTAGACCTACCTTCATGAAAATTGAATCAGTTCTTTATATTGTTAATACAAGTAACATGTTTTTTGAATTATTCAAATCGGACGCTCCGTTCTCTTAAAAAATGAGTTACTGTTTTTGGCACTTTTTGCCCCATATCTTCGAAACGGCTAGACCTGCCTTCGCCAAAAATTAATCAGCACGTCTCCTTACCAATACGAATCGAATGTTTTTTGAATTATTCAAATTCATTCATCAATTCAAATCGCTTCATCCGTGTTCCCAAAATCGTCGACGAAACTTTGTATCCGAACACACACACATACACACATACATCAATTTTTTCTAAGGTATGCCAAACTGTTCAGAACGTTTTGAAACGTAAAGATATATACAAAATTTCATTTTCGATTTTTTTGCAATTACTATAACTTGCCCTGTGGGAAGTTAATAAATACAGCTTCTTAAGAAAAATCCAGTTGCTCGATGATGTGAATTGAATGAAGAAAATATTTCTAAACCCACAATATTTTTCTTTTTATTGCATATATTTACTGCCGATCAAAATATACATTATGACGATAAAATGATACAGAGTTTAAACAAATTATTGATAAAAAAAATTATCTGTACAGTGTCCGGTATTTCATACAAAATCCAAAACCCAAATTTTTGTGGAAAATTATTAGGAATCGGTGAAAAGAAATTTTTCGAACAGAAACTTCATTTCTCATAAGTAACGTTTCGATTACAGCATAATAATATCTAAAATTGCAAAACAATTTCAAAGCCAATAATTTATAATTATTTATCAAAAAATGTTTACAACTACAATTAGCATATATCCTAACCAGTTAATAATTGGTAGAAAGTTGTAAAATATTGTACAAGTGTGTGACATAAAAATTCTTGGAAACAGATATAAAACCCTATTAATGTGTCAACTCACATAAAAGCTATAAAAAAGATTTAGAATCTATTTATTATAATAACATATGCACATATTTAAGCAAATAGGGACAGATAACTGTAAAAAGACCTCCTCCTTGATATCGATCATCACAACGTTTCCTTTAACATGATAAACGTAGCCTCTGGCTTATTGTTTTATAGAAAACGACCATTTCTATAAGTTTACAGATTTGTCATAAATATTCATTTGCATAACAAATAATGTAGAAGCTTCTAATACATATGGATGCTACACTTAATGATGATCGTCAGAACTTTTACATCTATTTATTTTAGGCATAAGAAAATAAATTCACTAGAATGCCATGCATCATTAGTGAAAATATATATTCTTATATATACTTATTAAGTTATTTGTTAAGTGTTACTTACCAGTACCATAAGAATGTGAATATTTTTTCATTAATGATGTTAAGAGCCATCACACAGAGAGCATCGTGCCGTTGTATGCTACCGGATGGACCAAATTTGTAGAAGTCGCACTTTGTGACCTATAATTAATATTTACTTAAATTTATAAATAAGCTTTTATGTATAACCTAAATGTATTATTTACATCTTTACGTTATAGCACCTCTCTATCAATTTAGCATGTTTTAAAATAGTTAGTGCTTATTCATTTTAACTTCTTTCTTCTAGGTTTGAAATGATTAAATCCGGGATGAAAATTAAGGTTTGAAATTATTATGAAGTTGATGAAGACTGCATAAAATATATTGTTCAAATGCTGGCCGGTGTGATGAAGGGCGACAAACAATAACTGCATACATGGTATATTGTTAATAAGTTTGATTACTTTTTTATGATCTTTTTGCAGATATGATGACACGATATTACATTTAACTTGCGAAATTTTATATGACACAGTACTCATGACTCAATTTTGTTACCTTCGGAAAAGCAATATCCAGATAGTCCATTTCATCCATCGATTGAGATGCCACTCTTGATCCCAAATTTCTAAAAGTTCCGCTAAGGAAAACATCAGTTACCAAAAATTGCAGAACCACATTAACTGCATTTGCAAGTTCGCAACATACTAGCCAAACACTCCAAGGTCTCATCAGATGAACTCGTGCTAAAAAATTTTTTCTTGCTGAAATCATAACACCTTTGGTTTTGTTTTTGGATGGAATAGATCTGTTTCCGAGTTGAACATCGTCCTCGGCATATTCAGATAAGGCGACAACTTGTAAAGCATTTACAAAAGCTTTCATTCTTCCTCCTGGAAAAGAGGAAATATATCAAATAAAAATTTATTATAGAAAAATATATTTTTCTTGCTTAAGTAGGGGAGATCTGGTACGGTTGTGCCAGGGTACGTTAGTGAGAGTCGTCATAACAGATAAACTATACTGATTTTGAGATAGGATTTAAAGAGAGAAAGATAAAGTATGACTGTTCGAATAAGTTCCCATTATTGCTTTCAGTTAGTGCCTTTCACTAATATGATCTGTAGACCGCATAGCTGTTAAAGAGTTAAAAGTAAGTTTTTATGTTCAAATTATGCTATATATGTAGATAGGTTACTTTTTTTATTATTTTGCTCTAAGTTGAATATTAGTAGTTATTGACCAGCAATTAGTTTTTATGCTTAGATAATTTAGCTCAGTCATACTGATGATTTGGTTTCAAAAATAAAAAGTTGTAAAATTTTGAGGATGAAAGTAACGATTGTCATTAGGTTTGCAAGAAAATATTGTATACTTTCTAATATCTTGATGCCTGACAAGAAGGACTGGCTTATATGTGAGGGTCAATATGTCGTTATTTTATATAGACATATTTTATTACAAATATGCTTTGAAGTAAATGTGGCAGTGTTGATAGCCGCACCAGGAAAGATGGAGGAGTTCTCGACACGTTTTCAGCTTAATGTTAAAAAAGTTTGCTAAAGGAGGCGTCCATTAATCGCGTGATGTTTTTAGGGGAGGGGGGGTGTATGAGACAAAAAATCACGAAATATCACGTGGAGGAGGGATGGGTATAGTAAGATATCATGTGTATTTATTTTTACCTGATTTTTTTTTTTTTAAATCAATAATTTTACAATTTTTTCTCGTAACTAAAAATACACGTGATGTTTGGTGAGGGAGGAGGTGTCCAAAATTTCCTGAAAAATCGATCACGCGATTAATGGACGCCCCCTAATAAGTGCTGAATGAGCCAAGATTTCCTTTAATGTTTGAAATTATTCATAGTTCTAAGTGGATTTGGTGTGTATGTTATATATTTGAGAATCTGTAGTAATGGGTCACGTTATTTCGTAATGCGTTTAAGTTAACTGTACTCATTGTCAGTAATTTATGAAGCGATGTCTGACTTTGTGACGTTGCGAGATTGGATGCTCGTGTGCGCTTTGCGCTTTGCATCTTGTACCACACCGATTTGAACTTTGTACAAAGAAATTTGAACTATTACATCACAATAAAATATTATATTATATAATACGTAATTCGAATGGTCAGAAGCGATTAAGTTGAATCGATTCGAGTAATTGAATTGGAACATGATTTACGCGCTCTCACAGAGAACTTGATAAGCTTTACACCTGAAGGCAACGATTAGAATAACAAAAAAAATCATTTTTCACATTGATGACTTAAAGCAACCTAAATTCCAGCAACTTAAATGCTCTCATTTATCATTAACTTGAAAAATACTCAGCTTCTCAATTCAAACCCATTTTATAGCTCGAAGAACAGCAGATGGCATCATATTGCTGCTCTAATAAAAGTGATTGGAATTTTCTTCTCAAGTACAAACAGAACTATTGATTACTACAATTGTTCATTTGTGCTAATTAATTGCTACTTGATAGACGAGTAGTGTATAATTACTTTCGCACATGTTTTGCAATGAGTACATCCGAAGAATTTTCATAGAACGTCCTTTATAATTAAAGTAATTACTTCCACAGCGTTACTGCCGAGGGTCAAATTGATATAAGTATGCTGTATTATCGATATTAAGAAATAACTTGATCTTGAAGGTTATTTTTAGCCTATGAAGTTAATTTAGGATAGATTACTGCGATTTTATAATTGGCTACATAAAGTTATTTTGTTAGTGAAAACTATTATTTAAAAATATTTTATTTTATATAAACTTGTGATGCAAGTTACTACATTTCTAAATTACTGATCTAGTTTACTATTTCTTTAATTCAACAGCTGGTTATTAGAAGGCAACACAATAATTGTCCTTTCTAGCTGTGATATATTTTTAATATGCTTATGAAGTTAATTTTGTCTTAATTATTTTTGCAGCAATGCCTTGAAAGTCTATTTTTACTTGATATCATATTTGAGATTTATAATCTTGTTGTCTCAAGCGAATATCTGCTATCATTACTGCTGGATACCAAGCTGGTCGAAGTGGAATTAGTGGTTGCTCGATGGCTAGCTCAAAATGTTAAAACTGGAAAAGTCCAAAAGTGGAAAAACTGAGGTCTTACATTACTAACTCGTCTTTGTGCATATGATTATTATCATTTATGTATTTGATTGTTAAATTTATTCCATTATATATGTAAGACAGTTGATAAAATGTACTTTATACAGTTATTATAATTTAAAACGAGTTGCGTCACGACACCTTGACGTATTGCATCATCTTGACAAATGCGATATTGTGTGGAAACCTGGGAACTCTTTTGTCGATACAAGAATTAAATAGCTTAACAATACACTTGCGTCTAATTGAATTGGTTAGAGGCTAAACGATTTGTAATCGCATGGCTATTTATCAAAAAGCCTTCAACAAAGACATCTGTCATTTGAGTGAATTAAATGATGATGCGCTTCTTATGCAACGGCCACCATGAAATGCATATCGCACCAAGCATTTATAATATATAGAAAAAAATATAAAAACATGGTAAGTTTTATTTTTGGCTCTCTAGTGGATTATTGTTTGGAGCTATGGAATTTCAATCAGAATTTTTGGGGTTCGATACTCGCCCAATTGAAATTTTGTTACCAAAAAGAACAAGTACTCGACTAGTATGGCAATCAACATAACTTCCCAACTGGAGTTTAACTCAAAGCTTATTTTTTGACTGATTATTCATTATTATTTAAGTTTCTTAAAACTCGTTGGAATAATTATTTTCGTGTGGTAGAGGTAGGTACGCATTATTGTACATCATAAACTATACATCTAAAGTGAATATTGCACAATATGTTTGTTTGCACAATTTATATAGGTGCAATGATGAAGCAATCTGAGAACACTTGTACGATATCTGTCGTATTTGGTGTATCAAATGATAAGTTTCAAAGATCAGTTTCGATCATGGACGCACCTGTAATTATACACCTTTGGTATCGAATGGTCGAACAGACGGCTCCGAATAAGACGACATATGTTACTTGATATCCAGACGAAGTCTTATCTTCATTTTTAATTAGATTTATAAATATTTTTCCAACCACACAAAGAGTATCAAAATAATTTTGTTTAATTATTATAATAGTTACATAAGAAACATAAATATGTTCAGTTATAGATGTTAATATTAATTTTTTTTTTTATTTCCTATAACCAATCTGAACCTTGGGTTTAATTAGGTTATTTGCTGACGCGTGCAGAGCTTTTAAGAATTCCCCCAGTGGGGAATATCCTTACATAAATATATTGATTGTTAATTTATTAAATCTTGCGGCTACTTTCTTTTTAATCTTCTCATAGGAACTTGTTTTAGCAGGCCTTTTATTAAAGTGTTTGGATGGTATGCGCTCTTTTGATGTAATATTATATGTAACTAAGATTTTAGTAATGTAAAGTAAATTATTAGTTCAAATTATTCTTTATCAAGAAGAAAATGTGTTAAATAGGACAACATCTGTTAATATAAATTCGTACCAGGTAGAAATATCTCGCTTCAATTGAACTAATATTTAAATAGTAAATTTGTAACATTTGATAACATTATAATTTTAAGCCAATCGTAGAAATATTTCGGAAAAAAACTATATTATGTACCAAGTAAGTGTACCACTCACTCGCCAAATTTAAATATTGATTGCTTTCATAGAATTGTATCATGTCAGTAAATTTATAGCTTGAATGATCATTTGTGATTTAAAATAATTAATTAGCTTAGAGAATAAGTTCATTAGCCATTAAGAAATTTTACACAATTTACAGCTTAAATAATAATGTTAGCAAATTTATTATTAACAATTTATTATTAATATGGAGTTAGTAGAAATTTTATTATGTTTGTTCAATTACCGTTGATATACGATATACGTAATATTACGTATAATTACGTGATATACGTAAGTGCAAAAATTTATTACCAATATTAGTATACGCAGTAGCTGCTTACAAGGCGAAGTGAAAGGTGACAACTAACATCGCAGATCATTAATAATGAGTAGGTGCATTGAAAGATTATATGAAAGAAATTAAGATTGCATCCTGACATAGAAACAATGCATTGATGATATATGATTAATTATACTTAATACAATGTAGCAACTTGTTGCCACGCGCTTGCCGAACAGTGTAAAATTTCTTGCTTTAAATAATCATGTCTCGTCGTTTTGTATTTCAACACAAAATCCCGTTATTCAATACATCTAACCAGGGTCGCATCGTAAAGTTAAAGAGTATTTATTTTTTCAACTTTATAACAAAATCTGTAAGAAAAATTTCATCGCCGAGAATATGGATAACTAAATGTTACAATAATAATACGTCGTTTCAGTAAAACATATTTGTGAATTGCTGAAAATAATGACTATGATTCCAAGCATACCTCCTGGATTTCCAGCTTCATTTATTTTGCAGAAATCTTTAAAATCAATAGAAACAAATAATTTTGAACCCATATTAATTCATTTGCATGATATTAACAAGTTTGCATGCATTTTTCATTTAAAAGTATATAAAAACGACAGAAAATTGAAAATGACAGTAAATAGTCATTGAAGTGTAAAGAGTGTATAGGTTCTCAAACTTTTTTGTGTCATGGATTTCTTGGATTTGGCACGAAATATTTAAATTAAAAGTACATTTTAATTTTAAACATTTAATAATTGAATTTAAAATAATAACAAGGAAATAAAGTAAGTAAAAAGTAAATGTTTAATTATCAACTTTTAGCAACAATTTTTTACAACTATTAAGTCGTCTTTTATCTTTAGTAATCAGAAATACTATGAATTCTCAAAAAGCGCAAAGAATTTTTTACCAAGCCTTTCAATAGTCAGCAAATAGGGTCTTTACAAGTTCAACCATATTCCACAAATCGAATGCTTATTAATGCAACAACTTACATATTTCTATAAATAATTCTATAATTCTATTAATAAATATCATATATGAATTTTTATTATATCTTTAATAAATAGTTATAAAAGTATTGTGATCCACTACCGTGAACTCCTATTTTCATTTTGTGGACCCCCAAATTTTTTTTGCTTACGGACCCTCTGAATTTTTGTCACGGACCCTGGGGGTCTTCACTGCAGAGTAATATTCAAGATAATTTTTGGATCTGTTATATATTAAAAAAATGCAGATGGAAAGAAACCAAAAAATGTGAATAATATCTTTTGATTATATTTTTAAAATATTGATTGTTACTAGTGGTATGACGAGGATTTATCAACTTAAGTCCTGTCTAGGAGGAATCCAATTTTCAATTAATTAAATGCAATTAATTGCGTTTTTTGTTAAAATCTTCAGTTTAAAAATACTAAAGTTGTATTCTACTATATGCAACTCATTCAGGTTTGTTGGTATTCAGAGTGACTAATATACTTGTAGTGGAAGTGGTATATGCGTGGGTCATCAAACTAAAACCGAATAAATAATTTAATACTTTGATAATGATAAATTTCATCATGTCTACGTTGAATTCAAATCATATGGACAATGGTTTGTTATCAGCGGTTTCAATAGCGGTCACGTAGATAAGCGCGTACTGTAGTGAGTTGCGTTATCTAAAATAAGAAAAAAATTTGGGAGTAGCGGAAGCGTTATAAGCAGCTGTTAGACATAGGCCTCTTTAGCTCAGTGGCAGAGCACTGGTCTTGTAAACCAGGGGTCGTGAGTTCAATCCTCACAGGAGGCATCATATATTTTTTTCTGTTTTTGTAAATGATGCCTCCGATTTTTTTAATTTGTGCTTGCATCACTTTAAAAACTTCCAAAATATATGATATTTAATTAAAAATGCTTAAATCTTATGTACTATTTCTGGCTCACATTTTTTATTAGTAAGATTCCTCATGAATAATGTGATTCATGTGATTACAACTATTAAAAATTTTTCTTAAGATATTTCGGTATACATTTGAAAAACGGTAACAAAAATAACATTTCCAATAAATTTATATTGATATTTTTCATTTGTTTTAACATTAACAATTATATTAACAATAACAATTGTTTTAAATATTTTAAAATATCATGGCATAATGTCTTGCACGACTATGTCATTTTTCAAATGCAACCGATCATTTGCGTGCCCTTGTTATTTCCCACAAGAAACTATATTATTATATTAGGAATTAATGTCAAATACACTAACAGAGGGCAATTGTATCTACAATATCGATATTTTGATATAACTTCAAATTGTTTACAAGTTCCTATATTTATAAAGTAGCATTGTTGATCTATGTTTGTTGGATAATTTTTGTTGCCTCTTCTTTTGTCACAAAATTTTGTAACAACTTATATATCTGAAATACGTATTATTGTATTGATAGAACAGATATGAGGGATGATATACCTACGGGTAAAAATCCGAAATAAGAAATATTATGTACACATTTATATTCACTGAAATATATTTATTTATTATTATTATTACTATGTTTGTTGGAATTAAGGCATTGATCGAACTACTTAATTCATTCAGGGCCTGCATTTAGTAAGGATCGTATTTTCGACGACGACCCGAGCGCCAAAGCAATTGGGTCGTCGTCGTTGCATGTTGAGCTAAAAAATCAGGACAGTTTTACGTTAGCGGGATGCTTGTTTTTGACTCTTTCATTCGTAACTAGTGAAAAGTGTTGATTGCTTTTTTTTGTCGAGTTAAAGTAATAGTCAACCATCAGTGAACGCGATTTTCATACAACATACCACGAGCAGCCGAAATTGAGACAGCCCTATGATAACCTGGTACTTCTGCAACCTATAATTGACTCTTTAGTAAGTAGATATTGGTGTAAAAGGTTTAAATATAAGTTATATTATCGATTATTTTATGTTTTACAATGTTTGTATAAACGTGTCAGGTTATATTATAGTTGTATACGACTAACACTGAACGTTAGTCTCTTTTAAAATAATCATTATTGAAAAATCGAAGGTTTGACTGTAGTTGTGATTATATAACATTCAAATAACATTTATTTAATTTTATTATAATTATTTCTTTGATTAATAAACTAAATAGATTACAGTGAGACCTGGTTTTTGTGTGATTTTATCTTAAGTTACGTAACACAGTGATATATTAATAATATTTTTTTAAATACGAATCAAACTACAGTAATATATCACTAGCTTATTTAGTAAAAATAATTCAGATTTCACTACATGAAGAGTTCTATTTTTAAATATGACTATAATAACATTACATTTATTAATCGTCAGTAAGTAGTTATTTATTTTCAGGAAATTTATTTTAGTAATATTTTTATAGTATTAAGTGATTTGTTGAAGAATATCGTTTATGTGATAAGTGTTAGATAACAAATTAATATAACAGAAGTGCGATTTTAAGTAGTACTTGATATTGTAATCGATGGCAATTAATGTAAGAGGCCTCTTTAGGCTTGTTTTTAAAACTTATATATTTTGATAGCTGTCAAACACTTTATAATATTTTCTCGATCAGTAAAAATCGAGCGTTCGTTTGGAGATTAATCCATTTGGAGATATTTTTAAAATTATAAATGTATCGTTAACATAATAAATATCAGGATTTTTATTACTGGTCATGTTTCCACAACAAACAGTATCGGTTATTACCTTACTGCAAACATTAGTTCTTGCATTGAAAGTGCAAGCAAAATTAGTGATAGTGACATATCGGTATGACAGATTGTGATATAAGTGTTTTTCTTTATTCTTATCTAGGTTAATATTTGAAAATTAATATTACCTTCTGCTTGTTTCCAGACGTAATGAGGTAAATAGAACATCAGGGCTTGCAGAAACAGCACGAAAGGCACCCACTGGTAATACGCATGTCGAATAATTTCCTCATCTTCGCGGGATGGACCAATACCAGGATGAGGTATGTGGCCAGAATTTATCATACTTTGATTCAAGTGTTTGACCTGGTAAATAAATAAAGGAAATTGTTAATTACTCGCAAATAGATATTGAATATACAATTTTAAAGACTACTTCTGAATCTTTGCTGAAGATGTTTTACTATTATTAAGGGGGCCTTCATTAATCGTGGGATCGATTTTTAAGGATTTTTGAATTTTTCTTTACCCTTGGTGATACTTGGTGAAACGTGGTAAAGAAATCATAAATTTAATGACAAATTTTAGAATTTTGTTGTCAATTATAACATGTAAATTTAGGTATGAAATATTTACACGTGATATTTCTTGAACCCCCCCCTCTCTCTCTTGTGATATATCGAATTTTTTTTTGTTAAACACGTCCCCCCATTTTAAGCCTCACTTGATTCATAGACCCCAAGTAGAAATTTGATAAAATGTGGTGACGTAATATTTGAGTAAATTATTTGATATAATATGGTTGTCTAAGAAAGTCTTCACCACCATTATGGACGTACACCATAATGACATGAATCAAAACTTTCTAAAGTAATAATGAATTGTAAAAATGCATTTAATATTTAATAAAAATATTTGTTAGTGCCATTCATTTTTGAATAAATGCTTCGCTTCAATGTGTGGTTCGTTATATTTTTATTGAATCAAAAGAATAGTATTAGTAATAACATTTAAAACTGCATAATTATTAAACTGTTTAATTAAAATATAATTTTTGTAGATTGTTCCATCATACAATGTTGTTCGTGATACCTTATATTCAAGA